CTAATGATGAGCGACGACCGTGCGGTGCGTGCTCTTTGTGGCGCGCACTTGAATCTGTCCCGCACGCGGAATTGCAGGCAACGCAACCTTCAAAGAATTTAGAGGCGCTTTATCTAACGTATAGAGTAGATGGTATATGCCAACAATATTGAGCTAAGAAACCACGTTTATGCGGAAGAATCACATCAATGCTTTATGTTAAAAGCCGCCACCTTGGTCAGTCTAACCAGACATCTGGAGTGCTGAGGTGCTGGAGTGCTTTTCTGGGTAACAATATGCCGGCATGCCATTATGCAGTACTAGGCTTTCCGGCTATAGGATCGGACCAGCCGACTGTCCCCGGAGATGCGCAGTCGCTCAATACCACACGGCGATGCCAATGAAGTCAACTCTGTTTGATATTCATTAAGTGCGCTGGTCGCTCCGGGCCGGGACAGGAGGGGGCTCTCGTCTCCCCTGAATCCCGTTGGACCCTCCCCTTGCCCGACGGCGCGGCTCGAGTAATTGCATTCCCTTTGGCTGACGCACGTGCAATAGTGGCGTGGGGACTGCGAGACGAGCTGTGACGCACGCTCCGGAGATAGGGTGCCGTGCCGACAGCTGCAGCTCCGTCAGGCTCAGTTGACAGAATGCACTCCGTGCTGAGTAGATGGCACGATCTGCAGTAGCTCCGTCAGACTGCTGCCTAGGCCGACTTAGCAGCTTACGCTTGGCCTTGGTCAGTTACATCTTGTACGCCACTCTGACTTCAAACATGACATCAATCCATCTCTTCTGAGGTTTGGCAACACCCAGCAAACTCAGAGCTAGCGCCGCTGGGTAAGTGGTAATAGCCGTTTTCACGACGGCCATCTGGTACACATTTGGTGCACATCTGGTGCAGATTAGGTGCAGATTTGGTCAAATTAGGTTCAGTGTGTCTCTTAGTAGCTATCAGGTAGGGTTGCACCAATTGCGTATATGCCTACTTTGTCATATTATCAGAGAGCATCATCGATTAAAACACTGAAATGATTTCATAAAATGAAGATATTTGCTGTAAAAGAGATTAGGTGCAGATTTGGTCAAATAAGGTGCACTCGCCGGATAGCCCGTCGTGAAAACGGCGATTGTGAAACAGAATCTTGCTGTGAAGAAACCGAAAGGAAAATGCCCCTGGCGGGCCTATACCGGACCCATCCTACACCTGTTCTGGCTCATCCCGAGGCCGTCCGTGCTTTCAGAGGCATTGCCATGGGGTAAGCGGCACGCGTCCTGCGCAGTTCACAGCCTGTTGTTGGCTGACCATCTGGCCGAGGTCGGGGAAGGAGCGTGGGAAGAGGGGGGGGGGGGCTAAGGGCCATCTTACGCCGCCGAGCAGCTGCTGTCGCCAGCCGAGGCGCTTATTCAGCCTGTGGAATCATGGCGATGAGTTTTTTTTTTACCTTGTTGAACTAGTCTTATGCGTTTGTTACGTGGACTGTCATTTGTTTGCATGTTGTTGCACCGTACCTGCTAATATGTAATTGGCCTGCCAGTCCCTTTGGTGTTTTCCAGTCTGTACCTGCACCGTGACAGTATGTTTTACCATCCAGTGTTTGTCCGCGGCGCGATGCGGGGACCGGACTGATTGGATCGGGCCGAGCCGCTGTCTGATTTCCCTCGGGCCTTCCCATCCCCAGGCTAGTCGGTGGTGCCTAACACCTGGACAAACACGCCCCAGTCCCTGACCTCTCCCCGGGACCGTCGTTGGCAAAATATGGCGCTGAAGGTGACGATACCACGTCACGGAAGATCCCAACACACGTAACCTTATATGCGGAGTGCCATTGAAGGTCGGGTTCCATAGCTACGTGCATTTTCAAGCTCCGCTGCATTTGCAACACCATTTTATGTGAAAGATATCCCCATCAATTGCTTGCAATATACAGAGCCTGTATAAGCGGTGGTTACTAGATTACTTGGAACAGTTTCCCGATGCTTTTGGTTTGCATCCTTTTATCCAACCAATTTAATAATAGATACAGTAAGTTATATCTAATCAAGTAAGAAGTAACCAAAATAATGAGAAAAGCAAAATGCCTAGGCTATAACCTAAAAAAAAAAACTAAAAAGTGTAACATCTTAACAGATTGTTATGCTTCTTCAATGCTGCCTTATCTATGGTTTGAAGATCATACTTAGTTGAAGAGGCCCTAACCTTCCTTGTTTCAAGGCTCCTAGTCCTACCTACGCACGATGCATCCTCTTCCCTCCCTCTCCCACACACACACACACACACACACACACACACTGCAGATGTGCGCCAAGAGCGTCTCCCACGCCGCGGTTGTGACATGTGCGCCGGGTGCGCCGTGATTGAATTATCGCCACGATTCATCCCAATCAGGCTGGTTAGTCGGAATTGGCGGTGCGCTGTGCGGGGCCGTGTCGGGCCGCGGCGCGGGCGGGGCCGGCGCGTGCTGCAGAGGACTGTCCGGAGAGGGAGGGATGGCAGAGGGGATAGAAGGGAGCTCAGTGGATAACAGGGGAGTTTTCATCTTCCGCAGTCCAGGCAGTCCGCCTTCTCTCCTCTGGTCTGCAATTTTCCTTTCAGCCGCCATCCTTCCCCGACCAAGCCCGCCCTCATCCCTCCAGTTCGTCTTCTCTTCCCTTCAGTTCTCCCCTCCAGTCCACCTTCCCTCTCCGTTCGTCCAATCTCGCCCCTCCTGTTCCGCTTCTCCCCGATCCCCTACCCCGACGGCTCCTACCGCGGCTCCCTGTCCGCCGCGCCTCGGCCACCCCATCTATTCATAACTCTCGGGTAATCAGCGACGCGGTTGTCACAAGGCTTTTAATTCGGCGCGCCGCGTCGTCGATCGCAGTGTTTGACTCCGCCGCTGGCTCCGTATCGATCGAACGGAGGCCGGACGACGACGGCGACGGCGGCGGCGCGGTAGCGGCGGTGGCGACGACGGCAGCGGCGGCGGCGGCGGCGGCGGCGGCGGCCGGAGGGATAACGCACGGTCGCGCCAGAGCCAGCTCGATAGAGCACGGCACCGCGCAGTCTTTGTTGGTGGGGTGAGCGCCAACGGCGACCGTGCCGCCTTCGTTCTAACCTCGCCGTCTGGCACCGTTCCGCACAGATTTCCCACGAGAAATAGCAATGTGGGGACGAGGGAATACGCTGACTGTTCGTGCAAAGTTAGGAATGACCTGAGCACTGAGCAAAAGTGAATATAAGATCAAAAACCTTGACTACTTTTTAATTAGTTAGGAGAGAGAGAGAGAGAGAGGGGGGGGGGGGGGAGAGGGAGAAGGGAGAGAGAGAGAGAGAGAGATAGAGAGAGAGATAGAGAGAGAGAGAGGGAGAGAGAGAGAGAGAGAGAGAGAGAGAGAGAGAGAGAGAGAGAGAGAGAGAGAGAGAGAGAGAGAGAGAGAGAGAGAGAGAGAGAGAGAGAGAGAGAGAGAGAGAGAGAGAGAGAGAGAGAGAGAGAGAGAGAGAGAGAGAGAGAGAGAGAGAGAGAGAGAGAGAGAGAGAGAGAGAGAGAGAGAGAGAGAGTTGGGTGGGATAGATATAGTTAGAGAGAGGGAGGTGGAGCTGCGAGGTCTGAAGAAAGAGAGAGGGAGTTAAGTTTTGAAGAAACAATTGGAGAATTGGAAGAGTGATGCAGCCCCCGGAAAGATACGCCGATCGTCTGTCGTCACAAAAACTGCAAAGTGGCGATACGATCGCATCGAATATTAAGCATGCCAGTTGCCGGGCACCCTTTCCAGCCCTGGTGCCTAAACAATTGGTCATTGTTTATATTATACATTCCTTTGAGAGAATGACATGATTTTTTTTTTGCAAAACTTGATTTACTTGAGCATTGATACTGTAACTAAAAAGTCTGCCCTTTCAAAACATAACTTCACATAATCAACACTGATGGTGAACAATGAATGCAGAACAAGCGAAGGGTAGTTTGGATATGCATATTCGTAGAGGCCGTCGCTTAGCGCAAAACTTAGTCTCCATATCAATTATTGAAGCTATGCCGCGAGTATTAACCTTCGCCGACACAGGCCATTTTGCATCCTCAGGCACAAGGGTGTGTGTGTGTGTGGGGGGGGGGGGGGGTACGACCCCCTCGCTTCTGGCGCCTGCTCGAGGTAGAGCTTCGCGGAAAAACAACGAGCGTGTTACCTGTGACGAGACGAAGCCGATGATACCCAATTTTAAGGTCCTAGGTATAGGTCATCGGTTGACCTTCCAGGTGAGGTCAGGTCAATGACCCAGAAGTCGGGAAAATCGGGACCTGTTACAACGTCGTAAAAAGTGGCTGCTATGAGTTTTTTTTCGGGGTGCTGATCACGAATATCATGTTAGTTTTGATCACAGATGATGTCTTTAACTCTTTATGCATTTAGGCCAGGTCAGATCAGGTCAGGTCAGGTCAAACAGTGGGGGTATTCGTTGATTCGTAATAATTCGTATTCCGCCGGGTATTCGTAGTACGTGTCAACTTTCAACCACCTCTGACAGCTTCGTAACATGTTACGACGGCACCAAAACTACTTCGTAATTGTTCCAATGGTTAATAAATTCGAATTCAGCTCCAAAAACTAGCCAAGAAACATGTAAAACTAAAAAAGTGAACCGAGGTCATCAAAGGTCAGTGACCTGACCTGACATTCAGGTGACCTTGACATCCACTCTTATGCAAGGGATCAACGTCAAATCACATGACTGAACGTTTGAAACCACGAAAAGACTGTAAACGCGTGGCTAATGCGAGCCGACATACGCCGAATCGCGATTCCGGCCAAACATGGTCTCAAAAAGTATGTCACAGGTCAAATGTCATTTGGGTCAGGGTCATGAAATTGTCAGGGTAGGTGTAACATTAATTAACGCGAGTGTACTAAAAGTTTCGTCGCGATCAGCCGCTTTTTACACGAGTTATTCGTGAAAAACCTTAGGGGGTTGCATCATCCCCCCTGTGCCGGTGAGGGTTAATCTCCCCCATAGATGGCAGCACAGACGGGGTATTTTCGTCAGTCGTTCAGCGCTTATGCTGGGTGTTGACTGTTGATAAGTAACCATTCACACAGATATCCTATCACAGGCCATCACTTGAGCTAATAAAAGCATGCTGTGCACAAGACGTTTCAGTTGCTGTTGTATTCGAGTGGCGGGCTGAAGTTGGTGTTCCTGAAGGCAGTCACAGGGCCGTGAATTGAGGATCAATCTGAGGCCAGGTGAGGATTGTTCGAACTTGAAAACCAAATGCGGTGGGTGCACTGTACAGGGTATCAGTCACTACAGTAAAAGACAGGCCAAAGAAAAAAATATAATTCAGATATACGATAGAAATGTGTCTTTAATGCCGCATTTCATCCGTGGCTAGTGGCAGAAATAAAAACATTAAGTTACTGCCTCGTTGCATCTTGAGGGTAAAAAAAAAATACATGCCCACACAAAATATGACCTGTTATTGCCCTCGGCTTTACATAATAGCATCAAAGTTTGGGCCATATACGGGTGAAGCCGCTTTGCTCATAACGTGTGTACAAAAATTAGAGAGAAAACTGGTTCGGCCCTGCGACATTTTAGCCACTAACCAGTTTGATGTACTGTTAAGTGCTTCATGGTCCTCCCGCGGATGCAGCGTGACACTCCCAGTCGTGTTGTCAATTGGCTTAGTAGCATATGGATAATGGGTATGAATTTACATATATAATATGTGCAGGATCTGGCAGAGGTGTAGGTATGTATGAATGTATATACTACCATACAAAGGTCTATGGCTGGTCAAACGACGTGTTTCTCTCAATGTCTGTGCCAACAATTCAGCTTTCTGAATAATTACGGAGCGAGCGAAGCGAGCGGAGTCTTTCCTTAAGCCGCGTTCCCACTACGACCGTTCAACATCGTAAAGTAAAATAACGAGAGAAAATCGACAAGAACGGCAAAATCACAGCATGCATTTTTACGATCTCTGCCGGTGGTGGTGGGAACCGGGTATTTGACACGTGTTTTCGGGTGGAGGCATTTGTAAGGTTTTAAAGGTTTGCTCCCCATGTTGGTTGGTTGGTGAGGTCGCCAAAAAGTTGAACAGAGGCCAGTTTTACCAACAGAAAAATAGCAGCCCGGCGCAATTTTTCTGTCAAAAACCAGCCGACGAGTTTCACCAACCAGGCGAAAAAATATCCGCCGGCGTGAAAAAATATCAGGCAGAAAAATAGCCAATGAGTTTCACCAACGGCAAATGCGGCATTAATGGAGTGTTATTTTGCGCCATTATTTGTAGAAAAACAGCCCAAAAAATAGACGGGCGACCCCGTCTATTTTTTTGATGTCGTGTTGGAACAATTGGCATCATTTGTTACTAATTATCGTGATTTGCGCTTCCCAGTTGATATAATAATTTAGTATCATTCATGGCCAATTTGTAAAGCATCTGGGCTTCAAGATTAGAAGAGGAATACTGATGATATTGCGTAAAGAAAGAGCCTTTGTCACCAGGCAGGACCAAAAGGAACCAACAAGACTGGTGTTTGGTGTTGTGGTGTTAGTTTTTTCGTTTATATTATCTTTTTGCTACAAGCACCCAACAGCAAGATGATAGCACATTATTAACTAGTGGTCAGCTTACAAGTTCATTGCTCGTGCGAGTCGCACGGAAGTGGAAAATAATGATGGAAGATCATTTTCGAAAATTGAAGGTGCTTGAACAAATGCTGGAAGGAGAGGCAGAGAGGGTAGGCTCATTGTCATTGGACTCAAGATTTTAAATAAATATGTCACTGTTTTCACATATTCAGCTACATTTGACAATGCAAGGCGCCAACTACTGATACCACTACTACTTTTGGGTGGAACTTACTTGAGCTGTGCGGAATAGGGAAGGTGCAATTGACATGGCTAAGACCAAAATGGCAAGATTTTCCAGATCAATGACAGTAAATTTAAAAAAAGAAATTGAATAGCATGAAAGAAATGTATAAAGGCTTGTTTTTGAAGCCAAACGTGCAAAGTTTGCATGGTTGCGAACCCGAACAAACTTGCTGTCATAAGATTGTGCCACTGAGCTCAGCAAGTCATGCTGCCAATATTGAAGGAAAAGAAGATAATAGTAATGTTGTAAAATGTAAATGAATCCATAACTGTTGTGTGTGCACTGTGCTGATATTTAATGCATGTGTATCTTGCATGCATGAGTCATGCAGGGATCATGTTAAAACTGGCTGTAAGTATTGTGAGTTAGTTTTGCAAAATTGTGGAGGCACCAGGCAAATTGCGGCCGAAATGTTATTTGTTCACCTCAGCGCTGAAATTTCTGCTCACAGAGTTTTCAGATCATGCGCCGAAATGTTCATGCAGCCCATCCGTTACACTGGTCATGTTGACAGTGACAAGGATTTTTTCCCAGTCTCATGTTGAAATACAATAATAATTCACTTAGCTTGATTTTAGCTTATGTTTTTCATGCCAGTTCCTAGAATGAAGCAGCCAATATTTTCTGTCATGTGAGAAATATAATAACAATATGCACAATTGCAGGCTGTGGCATGTTGTGAGGTTTTTCCTTGTTTATTGCTGAGGTTTTTCCAGTCTCTGCTGCAAAAACGGTGATGAATCCACCATCGTCCGACGGTTTCGATGACGCCAATCATCGGCGAGTGTTGCTGTGATGGCCGACCTGACTGAGCGCACAGCGGCAGCCGCCGTCGCCAATAACGACAGTGAGGACACCTCCGAGTCGGACGGAGACGCCGCCGCTGACGACTTCACCGTGCCGGACGAGGTGGAGCGCTCGAGCCGACAGACCGTGCACCGCGTGCGCTGCCCGACTGGCTGGCGCACCTGCAGCCGATTGGCGACCGGCGGCCGGCGCCGGGCCCGGCCAATCTGCCGGCGCTCTGCCCCGAGCTGCGCGCCCGGCTGGCCGCCGAGGGCATCGAACAGGTGTTCCTGGTGCAGGTGACCGTGCTGCCCGAGCTGCTGGCGGCCGCAGAGTCGCCACTGCCACCGGCCGACCTCTGAGTCTCGGCGCCGGCCGGCCGCTCGGTGCCCGCCGTGTTCCGCCAGTACGACGCCGACACGCCGCTCTGCGTCCAGCTGCTGGGTGGAGACACAGTGGCACGAGGGGGCGCCAACTGGTGGCGGTGGGGCCGCACGGCCCGGCCTCCCTGGCTGATCGTGGTGAGCACTCCCGGCTGGCTGATGGATCACATAACCAGCGCCGAGGGCTTCTCGCTACCGCACCTGCGCTACCTGGTGATCGACGAAGCCGACCGGGTGATCGAGATGGCCGAGACGGGCTGGCTGAAAGCGGTGGAGCGGGTGGCGGCGGCCACGGCCCGCCGCCCTGCATCGCCGGCCGGCTGACGGCCGCCGCCGTCTGCGCGCCTCACCTGCCGCTTCAGAAGCTGCCATTCTTGGCCACCCTGTCACAGAACCCGGAGGCCGGAGAAGCTGGAGCGAATGTCGCTGTTCCAGCCGCGACTGCTGGTGGTCGGCACGGCGGCCGCCGCCGTCGCACTGCCCGGTCAGTTCGTCGGCAGGTTCACCACGCCGGCCGAGCTGAGCGAGTCGTTCAACGTGGTGGCGCCGCAGCCGCTGAAGCCGCTGCTGATGCACCATTTGCTCCGACAGCCCGACTGGCGATGCTCGCTCGTGTTGGTCAACTGGAACGAGGTGGCGCACCAGCTGGAGCTACCGCTGTCTGTGCTGGGCGCGCGCGTGACTGAGTTCTGTGGGGTAGTGCCGGCGTGCCGGCGGCGGCGCGCGCTAGCTGAGATGGCCGCGCTGGTGTGCTCGAGGCTATAACGCGCGGTATTGACGTGGACGCCGTGGACGCGGTCGTATCGTACGACATCCCGGCGCTGTTGAAGGCACACTGCGTGCGTCGGACGGCGCGCGTCAGCCGGGCCGGCCGGGCGGTCAAGCTAATGTTGGAGCGGCAGCGCAGCAATTTCCAGCGGCTGATGGTGCAGGCGGGCGGCCGGGTGCGGGAGACGCTGGCGCTGCTGGCTGGACGAGCTACGAGCTGCGCCAGTACGAGGCCACCTACGTCAGTGGATATCCACACTAGCTTCTAGTGGATCGCTGTTGTTTTTATGCTCATTGCTCATGATTTATTTACATTTTAGAAATATTGCAATGAAATAGATGTATGCCTTGTCATCAGCCTAGAAAAGTTAAAGTAAGTAAAGCGTTTTAGTTGCATAATGTATGTGTGTTCATGAACACGGATTTAACATGTTCTAACTCCCAAACATTTCGATATTAGACCCGAGTTACAAACCAATCGGAAGGCTTAGACGATCATTTGGGGCGTAGCCAGACGGCTCGGTTGGGTGTGAAAGCCGGCGACCAAGGTGGTGACCACCCGATCATAATGCAGAGCGGTCTCCGTCGGACGATTGTGTCCGCGCGCAACGGATGATCTGGGCACACGCAGAGGAGTTCGGCAGGACTCTCCACTGAGCGGTACTGGGCGCAGTCGAACGACGATCGACGACGCTAGCGCAGGTATTGTTAATTTGTTACGACTTACGAGCCGGACCAGTGTAGCGGGCCCGGAGCAAATATTCTTTGCTGTGTGGCGTTCCTTCTTCTCGACCGGGCCCGGCAAACGGGGCCTGCATATCGGCTAAAACCACCTAGCCGGGCAGTCTGACCTCCACCTCGCCGAAGCGGAGCGAACGACGTACCCTCAGCCCTGCAATGACCGCGGTGCAGCAGTTAATCTGGGTAGGTATTTTCCTAAGGTAAGACACTCGCCTTTGCACAATGCTTTACATATATAGGCCTTGGCGAGTTCGTTAGCCCTCTTACTCCCGCTAGAAGGTGCTAATGCAGTGCACGCGAAGCCGCCTCGTAGCACCGCAGTTCAACTTCAATCGCTCGGCAGCGGAAACTGTCCGTCGTCCGTCCAGCTTCAGGTGGCGTCTCTGGGAGCAATGCTGACCGCTTATTTGCCGCTCTTTTGAAAGCTAGGAAAGAGGTGCGGCTCCCGGATCTGTCGGGAGCGTGACTCATAGGCGGCGGAACGGGTAGGGCACCGGGGCACCATGCCCCCCTTTGATTTTGACATTTTAATATTAGCCCTATGGGCGTTGCATGGAAAGAATGGGACCAAAAGTCGGCAGTGCCCCCTTAATTGAAGGTGTTCCGCTGCCACTGGAGTGGGTCTCATCTAGTCCCCACCTCATAGCTGGAGGTCCACACATTGCGTTCTCGGTCTACACGA